TTTATTAGACAATGACTCAATGATTAATCCTATTTTTAAATAAAATTCACTCAATGATTAACCTTAAAAGGAATTTACATGATATATATATGCTTTAGTTTATTAGGCAATTTTATAATTCTGGTCAAAAAACTATCCACTAAGACACGTGTATGCATTTATATAAAAATTTTTATATAAACGGGTTTTGAAAATCATTGCACGGTGTATGGAGTAGAGGGTGCATTTAGCACTAATTCCCCAATTTGGGACCGAACTAATTAGTGCATTTAAAAAGGGTGTGCACTTATATGGGGTGCATTTATAGAGAGTTGACTGTAATCTTATTTTATAATTTAAATGTAAAAAATTCAAAAAAATAATTAATTAAAAGAAATATCTTTAGTTTATTTAGATTTAATATTTTAATATGTAAATATTAATAAAATATTTAACAGATTATTCTAGTAATAGCCATTTTGGTTTTAGGTTATGAAGAAATCCTTGATAAAAATTGGTGGTAAAAAGGAAATATATTTATAAAACAATATTATTTATTTATTAATATAAAGATACATAAAGTGATCAAGAAAACTACCCTATAATATCTTATGTATTAATTTTTAAATGAATCTAATAAATTATCCTGAACAACCAATTTTAATAATAAACCTTAACTACATACAATCTCCATCTAGAATAATTGAATAAATGATTATTCATCCCATTTGTTACCCATAAACTGAAGTAATAGAAAAGAACAACTCGGGCTTATGTTAATTACATTTGCATATAATTTAAAATTTTTAAACGTTGTATTGTTAGTGGTGATACTAGTTGCGATCCTATTCAACTTTTGGCAACTAAAGTATTCCCTAACACAAAATAGAATGCTGGAATAACAATGTTTTCTTTCGGCCTAATATCAAGTGTTTATATCAAACGTATGTCTATGGTAAGTAGCTTATCTAAAATGGTATAGAACGGAGGTAGAGCAACATAACACAAAAATAATGGCTTCAGAAAAAGGATCCAAGCTATCATAACATTTAAGCCTCCAAGAAAAATCATCTAAAAAAATACACTTGTTAATATTTTATGTAAATTATGTTGAGATAAATGTGCCATTTCCAATCGTTGCTTTCTTAAACGATCGTAATATCTTCAAGATCTCTAACACGTGACAAATAAACTTTCTCACGAATACGATAATCTTCCAAAACATTTAGATTTGGATTGACATTTTGTATATTCTCTGGAGAAATTTTTTTTTTTAAAAAAAAGTTATAAATAAAGAATAAGTATTAGAATACCTTAAGATCATCGATCTCTATATCTTTGTCCATTGCATCGAGTTCATCTTCAGTGTAAATTTGAAATTCTTGTTCCTCATCACCTCTATTTATAAGGTCAATTAGATAAATGGTATAATGAATCTTTTAAAATATCATCTTATTCAGTCTCATGAAGTTTAAGAATTTCGCCAATGAATTTCTTTCTGTTTATTTTCTACCAAATTGCGCTCACTATCTTCAAGCTGGGTTTTGATTTTTAACTAATACAATACATAGTGTGATTGGTTATAAATAAATAATTTCGAAGTAATGTTGAGAGAAAAATAATAAATATAAAATAAACCTATATTGCTCGAATCAAAATTATTTCGGTTTTTCATAAAGTTTTTCCTTGATTTAATCTAATTCTTCTTTTTTTACTTTTCAATATCTAAATAATTAGGAAATGTAAATAAGTATTATATATATATTTAAAAATAATTCAGATATAATTAAACATTGAATAATACTGAATTGTCTTCATCGGCTTTAATACGAATGGAACGAGCATTTTGGCTTTCTATTGAATTCTTTCGAAAGCTTTTCATTCTTCTAATTCTCTTTCCTTTTTGCTAGAGAATTTCGATTTTAATCCTATACATTTCCGCCCTTGATTAGGCCGCTTGAGACTTGATAATTCGCTCATTTATTAGCGAACTTTTTTACGATTCCCTATCTCTTAGATTGTCGGACAAACAAATTTGCCTGCGAACTTTAATTTTTTTTAAATGTATAAAACAAGTTGATCTTTAAAATGATCTATTTTAGACTTTTGAGCTCGAAGTTTATCAACCAAATTCCAAAATCTTATCTTAATCTTCTCTTTAATTTAGAAGATTGTCTTTTCAATTGATCTAACTCTTGTGTTAGATGATCAATTTGTATTCGAAGTTGTCCCATACGCCTAGTATCATCTATCTTTTTTTGCCTTATAGAAAGAAAAAATAAAAAAAAAGATTACTATTAAACCTTAACAAGAATTTATTAGTAAAATACAATCATATGCATACCACAACTCGGCTACTCTTTTTTCAGTATAGAGAATACGGTTTGCGCAAGCACTCGCACCCATCTCTAACTTTGATAGCTCAAACTCTAATTAAGAGAATTCATTCTTTTTCTCTTGAAATTGTGGTTCTAAAGATCTAACTTCTTCATTTAATTCTTTCCACTGCATTTCAAAATGGCTACAGTCTGTTTCCAATTTCTTATTATCTCGGATGTCATGTCCGATTAAAATTTGAACTTATGGCATCTTTAACGCTTGGTTACCTCCGCCGCTTATAGTATCATATTTGTCAATAAATTGACCACTTAAACGTCACTACGCGCCATCGCGCCATCGAGTACCATTAGATGTGAATTCGTTTGTTGTAGATTTTGGGCAACCAAGTGTTTTGTAACAAACTATAAATGCTGGTCATCTTTCGGCTTAATAATATCAAAAAGACGGGGAACATTTTCAGGTGTTTGTACCGGGTGCATTGTCCATGGTAGGCAGTTCATTCGAAAGAATGAAAATGACGCAACCTAAATCGTTTATTTTAAGGTATTTCTATACAAGTTTGTCCAACTTCAATAGAATCAGCTACGATGTTGTTCAATGCAGACAGGCAGTTGAAATCGCGACATCGTATTTATCATCAATGACACCAAGGTTACCCAAACGATCCTAATTTAAAGAA